TATATATATACTTATAACAGGAGCAAATTCTTGTTTTCCTCCTGACCAGGCTAACAGAGGACGCCCACTTGGTATCTTCCACCTTAAGTGATTTCCAGATTCTCCGCACTCTAGGAGTTGGGGAGTTCGGTCACGTAGACCTGGTAAGGGTTTGACCTCGCAGCAACAACACAGATCCCTGCTTCCGCCTCATTCAGACTGCCTGGTTCTATTTGGTAATGCATTGATTTTCTCCTGCTGTCAGGTGCAGCTAAAGAGCAGCACCAAGCATGTTTTTGCCATGAGGGTCCTTAAGAAGAAACTGATAGCCAGCAGCGGTCGACGCGAACACGTTCTGAGAGAACACAGCATCCTGATGGAGACCCGTTGTCCATTCATCATCAGGTGTCTCTCACGCTATTTAATTCATTGTGTCCTGTTGACAAGATCACAAAACCACCTAACACGTTTCTGTGTTCACATTTAACACAGGTTACAGAAAACCTTTAGGGACGCTGAGCATCTGTACTTTTTAGCAGAAGCTTGTCTGGGTGGGGATTTATCTCGTCTGCTCAAAGACAAGTGAGTATCTTCATTAACAGGACAATTAATATTTCTGATCTGGCCCTCTTTTCAGACAAAGTCTTTCATAAAGAACCTTAAAGCATGAAAAAGGCTGTATTATCTAGCATCTGTTTGCTCCTTTTATCAATATTATCTTAAAATCTCGTATTTGTATTGACCTTTTTTCTTATTACTTTCAGTTTAAAGCTCTCTACTCAGCATTAAACATTCTTTATAAATAAACTTGACCATTGAGCTTTTCTCCATAACATTTCAGAGGATGCTTGGAGGAGTGCAGCAGCAGATTTTACACAGCTTGTGTTGTCGAGGCGTTGACTTTTCTTCACCACCGAGGCGTCGTCCACAGAGACGTGCGGCCCGAGAATGTTGTTCTGGACGAGCGTGGTTACGCTAAACTGGTAACTGCGACGGTGTTCGAGCTCCGCGTTTGGTTTTTTGAAGCTTTCACTGACTGTACAGACGCTTGTCGTTTGTAGATGGGCTCCAGATGCATGAAGAGGGTCGAGACAGGTAAGAGAACCTGGACGTTCTGCGGGACGCCGGGCTACGTGGCTCCTGAAGTCATCTTGAACCAAGGCCACGGTGCTTTGGCAGATCTTTGGTCCCTGGGTGTTTTTGTGTTTGAGCTTCTGAGTGGTGGGTAAGCTTTGCAGGTTTGAGAAGCTCTGCCATCTTAGCTAATTTTTCCAGTTTCAGGTTTAGGTTTTTCTGATTGGATCGTGTTTTTGTCCATAGACTCCCTTTCGACGGCTCTGATCCGTTGAAGATCCTCACTGCAGCCGTTCATGGCGTAGACCGCATCGATTTCCCTAAAATCATCAGCAGAGATGGCTGCGATCTCATAAAGAAACTGTGCAGGTATATTGTTTGAACGAAACACAAATCTAACCTTGGTTTTGCTTTTATTTTGCGTTTCTTGATCTGTGTTTTGATTCCACCTCTGAGGAAAGAACTCCTAATGATTATTTTATAAATCTTACGTCCATCGGTGAGTTCTTATTTCTTTTCCATCGCCCAGGAGCAATCCCGTGGAGAGACTGGGAAGTAGGAAAAACGGGGCCAAGGACATTCAGAAGCACAAGTGAGACTGTAGATTCATCACATTGAAAATACTCTGGCCTATGCTTGGAAACCTGCTGTTCAAGGTTCTGATGCCATGTTTGTTTATTTTATTCAGATGGTTCGAGGGATTCCACTGGGACGCCCTTTGTAAAAGAGCACTGACGCCCCCGCTTATTCCCAAAGTAAGACAGTTCGACTTGTTTTTTATTTCCTGATCATTTTGTTTTCTGATTTCTCCTTCCTTTCCTCTGTTTTTCAGCTTCAGCATCCTCTAGAAAGCACCACGTGTGCTCGGTACCTGGAGACGTCAGAGGAGCAGAGCTCAAACTGGGAGGGTTTTTGATCAACATCTATAAAATGAGCAGAAAAAAATGAAAAAATAATTCTTAGTGTAACTACTACAAAAAAAACTGATTGTATTGTTTAGACACTTTTTTAGTGGCAGTTCCTGCAGATATTGTTTGGAAAATGAACTGTTCTGCCTAAACTAAAAGGTTGTTATGTAAAAATCTCCCAACACAAGTTGAGTCTGATTTAATGGCACCACTTCAAAGCCTAGTACCTTTATATAAGATTTATTAATACTTTTAAAATCAGTCATTCATAGGTTTGTAAACATGCATTAATAATTCATGAAACTCATACATTGATGCAGGCTCAGTATTTGACAAGATCAAATTCTGTACTTGAATTAATTCCAACTCATGTATTTCTTGTTGCACAGTTAAGTGTTTTTTTAAATAAACATTACATGTGAAATCAAACTTTGTATCAAACACTTTCACACACAGGTAACTTACTGAAATTAATTGAGTTAACTCTGATTAATTTTAGTGCTGCATGGGCATAGATTAAAAATTTTAATCGCGATTAAAATTTGCAATCACTTTACTACGGCTGAATATGTAGGTTTGTATATTACAATGCACTCAGTGCATGCCAGGTCATGTTTGTAAATGAGAAGTGGTTCTCAAACAGTTTACCTGGATAAATAAAGGTTAAAAAATAAAAATAAAAAAACTCCATGTGTAACACATTATGAACAGATTTTTTTTCTTTTTGTCTTCTTATGGCCTATTTTTATTTTATTTATTTATGTTTTGCTGACAACTGTGACCTTAGAATCTATCTTTCATTCCTCATGTAGTACTCATTTGGAATGAAAATCATTGAATTCTTGATTTAACCTCATTATTCTGCACAAAATGTAACTGACTCAAATATGTTTGGGGCATTTTTTTAGGTCCTGATTTTTGTTGTTTTTGTGCAATCCAGGTGATATTTTCATGATTTACTATTGTTGTATGTATTTCTTAAGGACCAATTCTTTTTTTCAAAATAAAGACATTAATTAATAATTCAAGTATTTTTTTTACCAATATGCAATAAAGTTTTATATTAAGTTTAAGATTAATCGTGATTAATTCACAGCTACCTTGGAATTAATAGATTAAAAGTTTTAATCATTTGACAGCCCTATGAAATATACAAATTTATTTAATATACTGTATATATATATTATGAAAAATAAAACAAGTAAATGGTGAGGATAAACATGCTGGCTCATTATTTGACGTTAAACTGTAACTTCCTCGTAGCCTAATAATTTATTAGATTTACAGATTAATTGAAAACTGCATTATTATTAATTTATTAGTAGTTTCTAAGGATGCCCTTATTGTAAAGAAGCACCAAGACAATAAACAAACAACTTGTGTCAAACTCTGTTTTAGTTTCATTCATAAATGTTTGTTGTTGCAGTAAAACTGACTTTTCCCCCATTTGACTGAGGTGATATCAGCCTGCAGGGAAACATCAAGGTGAGAAAAATAAAATAAACATTAAGAGTTTGATCTTTGGTCATAAAATAAAGTTACTAAATCAGTTATTAAGATTTAAAAATATATAAATCTTAGTCTACAATATCAAATGTAATAAGTAAAAAATCTGTTGTGTAAATATATTTGCAAGTCTTTTCTATTATTTTCAYGTCACATTTACCGGTACACTTAGGACGTATATTTTGAAATCCATTCRGTTTGCTCCTTAGTTTTTACTTTGAAAGTCTGACCGGAAGTGTAACACTTCAATGCGACGTTTCGCTCAAATTCCAGTGGTTTTTCTGCAGAACTGCTGAAGTTGTAGCGCAGAGATCCTCGAGAAGACCTGCGTGTTCCCCAGGTTAGTTTGATTTGTTGTTTTAAATACTGTCGGTGTAATTGCTTTTACGTTTATAAAACAACTTTTACTTTTAGTTCCGAGACACGTTTTCAGTCAAAAAAAAGGAGATAAAAGTTTTGGGGAGTCGCTTGCCGAGTTTCCAGCCCCCCATTTTTCTTTCTCCTTCTCCTTCCTTCCGAGGATTTTTTTTTTTAAATATTTGGAGATGAATGATCTGCTCAACAAACTGACGGAGGCACAATTTAGATCACATTTTTATAAATAAATGTTGTGGGTTTGTTTTAAACAAGAGGGGGAAAACGTGTTCTGACAGCTCTTTAGCTTTGCAATAAGCAAGTAAATAAGTACGAACTAAAGGAAAAATATAGTTTGTTTCACCTTCTGCACTCGTGTTTGCTTCAGAACTCACCAGACTCGTATAATGATGTAGTTTTTGTTCGCTTTTTATTTTTTATTGCATTTTTGCAGGTCTGTAGAAATTTGTGTCAAGTAGGGGTCTCTGCGGACGAGTGGGCGTGTCACAAGGAAAGGCGATTCTAAAGCGACACACCTGATTTGACGGACTTTGTTAAAAGGACACACCTGACTGGACAAGCAAAAAAGGGGCGATACCGTACGGCACGACCTCATTGGACAAGAACAAAAAGAGGCGTTACTGTACGGCACCACTTTTTCTGGAGAACCCTATTTGGGTCACTTTTCTCCTGGTTAACCTTAGTGTTGGGGTCAGGGTCAGGATGTAAAGAGATCAAGCAGGATCTAATGATACCATCATGTAGGCCTCGTAGTCCACAGTGGTTATGCTTTTGACACGCCCACTCTTGTGACACGCCCACTTTGATTCCGCAAATAACCCCTTCGCGTTTGTGTTGTGCAATCAACAATTTATAGTTAATTGAACACACCTGTTTCTTAATTTGAACACGTTTGAAAATGACTGCAAATGTTTGGTTCCTGTTGCATGAAATTATCTGAGATTTTTAAAACTAGAAATGAAAGGAAAATACTTGTCTGTTGTCTGCCATGTTTTAAGGAAAAACAAACAGGATGATTTATTGGTTGCTTTTGTCTGCTCTAATCTCATTTATTTTATCAGGGTGTGTGATGGAGTCAGGCTCCAGGTTTTATCTTCTTCCACTTGTTTGTCTCCTGGGAACAGACGAACATATCAGCCCATTTTCTATGTAGATTACACAGAAAGGTGATTTAATCTCTGATCCACAGGAGTCAAACTTAAATCACCTGTTTGATACGCAGCGGCTTAAAGCAGCCCAGAAGTAGCTAAAAAGGCTTACACAGAGCTGTGGTCCTTCAGCACGTCTTCAGAACAAAAGTGTAAAAAATATAAAGTTTTCCTAAACTTTTAATCCTTATTTCATCCAGGTTTTTATCTGTATTTGTTCCAACACAGTATTGTGACCAATTAGTTTGTAACTAACTTTTTATTGCAGCCTGGTTAAGTGTTTTGCTCCTGATTTTACTCTTAAAGATTTTGTTGTTTTTTTTTAGGATCATAAACAGTCATGTCCTCACAGTTTTAGTGGGCATATAAAACCTAAAGTGGGGGGTCTTCATCAGTACACTGATGGAAGAAAAAAAATCCAACTAATATAGTGCAATGGTGCAAATAGTAAAGATTTTACTTGTGTGTTTGTTTGTCTCTACACTGGTTGCTTTCACAGATGATTGCCTTTTGAAGATGGCCACCACAGCTAAGGCACCTCAGCAAACATAAAAATAAGCAGAAATCAGACATTTCACAGATACCAGGGTAAAATTTAGTAAAAACACCTTTACTGAACTCTAACACATCGATTTAAAATCTGTTAAAAACCATTAACTATTATAACCCTGCCTGTTCATATGCTATTATTCTGTGCTGTATTTACATCTGTTTTAGGCCCACACGTTGTGTTAATGTTTATATAAAAGATGTGCTGACAGTGCAGTCTCAGTTTATATTTCCTCTTTTTTCTGTTGTTTAGCCGCAGGAAACCGCACACACTGTAGCCTTCAAGCTTCAAAAAGAATTATCACTATATTTTATTATTATTAATAATAATGATAATAATGATAATAATAATGATTTAATAATCAGGTTTAGTACTGTAATACAGATGTGAGTTAATAATGTAAAGCTTTATTGTTCTGGTATATTAGGGGTCGTTGACCTTTGACCTTCATAGAGGATGTGTTACCTCTTTGTCGGACAAAGTGTGTTAGTTGTCTGCAGAATCAGTCTGCTGCAGAAACAGATTTAATTTTGCCATGACAATAATGACGTTGTTCTCATCCATTATCTGTAACTAATCTGCAACCATCTTTATAGTAGCTATTTTCAAATAAAGACCAAGTATGTTGTTCATAATCATCAAGAATGTTAAAAGTCAGGTAACCAAGTCAACGTGATATGAGCTGTAGTTTTCTTCAAGCTGTTGAAATATTGAGGTGTTGCTTTAAATAAGACTAATTAAACCACGAAAGTATAAATATTGAAAAATAATACTTGAAACTTTCAGTTCTCCTGCACTTTATCTAATTTCCCTCTAGGATCAGTAAAGTATTTTTGAATTGATTTATTCTGTATATTACTGTTGCTATAAGAGAGAACCTAATTATTAAACATAATCAACTAATTCTGTTTTCTGAGCCTTCTGAACATGTAGTATTAAACAAACTATGCACCGAGTATACAATATATTTAATAGTTAGGTAAGAGGGATAAACCTTTATTGCATTAAAATGAGAAACAGTTGGAAAAAAGTATTGTTGTAAAATCCTGTCTGTGTCTAAATATTACCATGTTCTTTGACCTACTTCTTCAAATCAGCTAAAACAGAAAAAAAGAGTGAATGATTCATCCTTCAGCATTTCTTGTAATCATGACACAAACCAGAGTTTATATCAAACAAGATGTAACCTGGTTCACTTGGTTCATGTCACAAACTGAACTTGCTCCTCTAAACACTCTACAAATAAGTGAAACAAATGGTTCCACACAAACATTTCCCTCTTCACTGAATGTAAAGGCATATTAATCCCTGAATAATCATTATTGTTTATTGGACTGATTATCAGAATGTTACCATGTTTCTAATAATAATAATAATAATAATAATAATAATAATAATAATAATAATAATAATAATAAATGTTTGAAGGTGCATACAGTAAAAATACAGTACAAAATGTTCAAAATAACAAATTGATGATGAAGCCAGAAAAGCTACAGCAGAGCTGGTTTTGTTTATAACAAGTTAGAATTTTTGCTGCTTGGTTACCTGAAACTGAAGGTTTTATGCTGTAGGAGGGGGAAAACACACAAAGCTTGTATTGTTTGTTACTCTGGGCTTTTGTTGAACGTGAGACCCCAGACCGTCCTGAAAGTGACAGGGATGTTCTGTCAGCAAGATGAGTATGTATTTTATTTTATTTGATTCTTTACCCTCCATGAAAAAACTGCTGTTGTTAGTTGTGCCTCTTTGTGTTTCCTCTAAAGAACTGTAGCCAGACAACACTTATATTTTAAAGTGTTTATTCTCTTGTTTTTTTTTTCCTGCTTCTCACTCTGGTGTTGTTTGACTCTTTTGTCTTCACCTCGACCCAAATGCTCAGGTCTCAGACTGCATCAGGTGTCTCCGCCTCCTGTGGTTTTTCTGGGTCACTTTCTGTCCTCACTGAAGCCACTGCTCAGCTTTTTATTTCTTCTATATTTAAAATGAATTTTGACATGTTGGAAATTAGACAAAATAAGACAAGAAACTTTATTTAAATCTGTCTTAGCTGACCAGATGAGTTTAAAGCTGTCTGAGCAAAGAAGCAGTTTTTCTATAATTTTATTTTTGTAATAAAGAGGTCATTCTCTACAAGCTGCTTGTGTTAGAGGTGGCATCAAGTGGTTTTTACTCACTCCAACCTGTGGCTAAAAGCTGCCTCTTTTAAAAACAAGGTGGAAACTATTTATATTCTCTGATTTTGGAAGGCTACACTGCTTTTTTTAAACATGCTTCACCTGAGAGTGTTGGAGAGGTTGTGAAAACACATCTCTGAGTCTTGTGTCAGCTGAGTGTATTCAGCAGAAAATCAAAAAATAAAAGTAAACATGAAAATCTGGGGATGAAGCTGAGTTCATCATAATATGAAACTCTGGTATTGAAGGAGGAGGTTGATGTTCATCTTTTCAAAAAAATACTTGAATAGCATAACTGAAAATCTACAATGATTTTTTGAAAAAGTTAAATATTTGTGACAATTTCTCCATATTTGAACAAACAGGTGGTTTTCTTTGGAAGGTAAGAGGCTATATTTAAGTTCAATAAATGGCATAACACAGCCACAAATTAAACTGAAAAAAAAAAAAAAAGCTCACAGATGAAAAGTATACCACTGCATTTATCAGAGCTTGAAATTAAATTAAATTAAATTAGGCCTTTTTTAGATGAACTGATACTGGTTCTGTAATCTGGTTTACTGGACAGTGTCATCCAAAAAACTAAAGAGCTCTTTTCATTAAAATCACTGTAACGCCTCTGTGCCTGGCAAGGAATTTTAAAAGATCTTCAAATTATTCAAAATAAATCACTTTAATACGAGTACAAATAGCCTTCAGTGCGTAGATTTAATTAATTAGGTCTAACAGTATGTCCAAGATGAGCCTCCATGAAAATTAAATGCAGAGTATATAAGAAAGTTTTGAAGAAGCTCTCAGCAGTAGGGGTGTTGGTAGCTGACAGGACAACTCCTCGGACTCTCTGACCAACTGTAAAGCATGGAGGTGGAAGTATTATCAGATGTTTTTACACATGTATGAACAGAGCTATCCAGAGTTTGTTTTCCCAAAAGTTCTGGTTCAGTAGCCTGAGGCTGGTTCTCACAATAAAAATACTCCAGAGCTTCATTCGTTCATCCCCTCAGGGTTATTTGGAGAACCACAGCCTTTCAGTTTATGGCAGAGCAAAGTATTTACATGTTTCTAAGAACTAGGAATGTGTGTAATTCTA